AGTTGCCCAGGTAAGCGTGCGAGTTTTGCGCAGTCTCCATGGCCCACGGATCGACGTTCTGCAGTCGGTTCCAGAAAACCTTGCCTGTTTTCGGGTCGAAGCTGTTGTATCCCATGCCGGATAGAATACAGGCACCCTCAGTCAGAGCCCAGACACCGTAGTACTTGGTGCGAGAAGTGAAGCCAAGCATATGTACAGTGAAAATGCGACGCAGGAAGGAATACTGCAAGAACTCGTCTGAAAGAACAAAGTCGGTGGTAAAGTATGAGCTCAGCTGGATGAACGCGAAGATCCAGACCAGTCCGGCGACGGCCTTCATTGCGGCAGGTCTTCCACTGCGAGGGATCTTGCGCTGCTTTCTGGTGGGTGGTACCTTGGATGGGTCAGTGCCCGGGGGGACTTCGAAGAGCGTGGTGTCGATCCAGCGGCGGTAGTCCACGTATTCAAAGGAAGGACCAGCAAAGAGCGAAGGGAAGAAAAACACGTAGCCCAAATAGTCTATAATGCTCGGGAACTTCATAATAGCAGAGTACTTCTGCGGGTCCGAGAGTTGGTCCTTGGGCAGACGGCCGTCATGAACATTCCAGCAGAAGGAGGTAAGTTTCATGACCATGACCATCTGCGCTCCAGTAATGTCAACGGCTGATTTGTCGTTCGCCCTCTGACGCTCGATGTGGTTAATTGACATGTGACCCATCAGGTAAAGGAACCCAATCCACGGCATCAGTGATCCATCCACATAGTAGGCGATCGCATAGGTGGCTGCGGCGCTGTATAGTAGGGTGCGTAGGCCATCCCAGAGGTTGAAGAGTCCAACAATATAGAATAGCGACACGGCGATAATGAAGACATTCTTTTTCCAGGGTTGGCCATCGGGAATACGCTTGAGGAGGGCGGCCAGTGGGTAGGAGAGGAGGAACGAGCCGATCAGCTTGACTGGAGCTGGAGGTCAGAAATTGCTAGTAATGTCGGGAGCTTATGGAAATGGAAGATCGTACGCTCATCAGTCGATGCGCCAGTCAGTTGAGCTGGCACCTCAAATACTGCGGGGAGGAGTGTTAGTTGGACCGAGGAGCTTGAGAGCTTGTATGAGGGAAGTAGACATACTCTGATCTACATAAGGCAACATATTGTTGACCTTGTAGAGAAGAAAACAGACAAAACAAGAAGAATCAGAAAACCAGACGAGAGTGAAGAAAGAAAAAGAAGAAAACAAAAAAAAAAGAGGTGAAGAAAAAAGGAAAACAGCTTGTCATGTGGAAAGTAGAAATTCCACCCCAACAACTTCCCGCCCTCTCCATATTTAACCCTTCGATCTTCAACAGCTTCAACAGCTTCAATCAGGACCTAATATAATACGTTGAGAACTTACTTCCTGGAATCCTACCCACTATGGACGTCGTTGCGGCCGCCTCGGGGTACATCTCCAAGATGGTCACCGTGGGTGAGTCCGCAGGAGCGTCGTCATCCAAGATGAAGATCTTGCTTCTTGATAGTGAGACAGTGGGTGATTTTACCTAGCTAGCAATATACTCATCTAGATCGCTAACTCCTATCGTGATAGGTCCCTATTGTTTCGACCGCAATTACCCAGTCCGCCCTCCTCAATCATGAGGTCTACCTTATCGACCGCCTAGACAATGCCGCGCGCGAGAAGATGCGACATCTACGATGCCTGTGCTTTGTGCGCCCATCACCCACCTCTATTCAGTTTTTGATCGACGAGCTTCGAGAACCTAAGTATGGCGAATATTACATCTATCTTAGTAACATTATCCGCAAATCCGCCCTCGAGCGGCTCGCAGAAGCGGACAGCCACGAGGTCGTCCAGTCGGTTCAGGAACAGTTCGCCGATTTCCTCGTAATCAACCCGGACCTCTGCTCTTTAGGGATGGGTTTCCCATTGCAACGGATCTGGAGCCATTCGCCGGACTTATGGAACCCGGATTCACTACAAAGAGCCACAGAGGGGGTCCTGGCCCTACTTCTCGCCTTGAAGAAGAATCCACTTATTCGCTATGAGAAGAACAGTCTGTTGGCCCGGAAATTAGCGACGGAGGTCCGATACCACATCACACAGGAGGAGCAGCTATTTAACTTCCGCCGGACGGATACACCGCCTATCCTGCTCGTTCTTGACCGCCGCGATGATCCCATCACCCCGTTGCTGACTCAATGGACATACCAGGCGATGGTACATGAGATGCTTGGAATCAACAATGGCCGCGTGGATCTGCAGGATGTGCCAGATATCCGACCAGAGCTGAAAGAGATTGTCCTGGCTCAGGACCAGGACCCATTCTTTAAGAAGAATATGTATCAGAACTTTGGTGATCTGGGTCAGAACATTAAAGAATATGTGGAGCAGTATCAAACCAAAACCCAAAGCACTGCGAATATCGAATCCATTGCGGACATGAAACGTTTTGTGGAGGATTATCCCGAATTCCGCAAGCTGGCAGGTAATGTGAGCAAGCACGTTACCCTGGTAGGCGAACTCAGTCGGCGTGTTGGTGAGGATACCCTCCTCGACGTGAGCGAGTTGGAGCAGAGCCTGGCATGCAATGATAACCACTCCAATGATCTTAGAGTATGTTCGAATCTTAAACTGACGATGCTTCGCTCACGAACTTACTCTTCTCCAGTCACTACAACGAATCATCGCGCTGCCAAACGTGCCCTCAGATAACAAGCTACGTCTAGTGGCTCTCTACGCTCTTCGCTATGAGAAGCAACCCAACAGCGCGCTGCCAATTCTCCTTGATCTCCTCGTCACAGCGGGCGAAGTCTCATCTAACCGCGTAAATATTATCCCCAAGCTCCTCGCCTATCACCACTCCCTCCAAGCTCCACCAGTCGCAGGCGGGTTCTCCGATCTTTTCGAATCAACCTCATTCTTTTCCGGCGCAAGCAGCCGCTTTAAGGGCCTCAAAGGTGTCGAGAACGTCTACACGCAACACTCCCCGCGACTGGAAGTGACTCTTCAAAATCTCATCAAAGGCCGCCTGAAGGAACTGCAGTACCCCTTCCTCGAGGGTAGTGGACACACGCGGGACAAGCCGCAAGACATTATCATCTTTATGGTTGGCGGCACCACGTATGAGGAGGCCAAGATGGTAGCACAGGTTAATGCCAGCTCTCCGGGAGTGCGAGTCGTTCTCGGTGGCACTTCAATTCACAATAGTGCAACCTTCTTGGAAGAGGTTGACGATGCAGTGGGCAGTTGGCCCGAACCAGGACCCTCGACAGCTGCGGGACGGCTGCGACGGGAGGTGGGACGATAATTGTGTTTTAGTGTGTATATGGTAATGGAATAGCGTGATATCAAGTAAATCCTGCAAATGAGAGTCAATTCTACAAGAAATAGCAAAGAAAATAGCTGACGGCAACTTATTGGTAACTTATTTCGCATTTGTCGCTACAGCTTTCCGTAGAGAGAGAGAGAAGACCCCAAATGCGGAGAGATTCATCTTCCTCTCTCCCCACACCTGACAGCCACACATCAATGGAGCACACATCCCCAAAAGGAGGGCCCTCCTCACCACCACCTCGCGAACCAAGACTCCATCTCCCTTCAACAACCGATCCGCCGGGCCCCCAGAATCCCGCCAAACCCCTCGTATGGCTGGTATACATCCCCATCTCCCACCAACAAACCCCACCCCAACACAAACTAACACACACCCCCCAGATCTTCGGCGCAACCGGGCACATGGGCCGCTCCCTTGTAAAAACTGCCCTCAGCAATAACGACCTAGTAGCAGCCGTCGGACGCACCTACGAGAATAGCCCAGCCGCAATGAAAGAGCTCGAATCCCCCAACTGCATCGGCCTCCTATGCGATGTACGAGCACGCGAGACCGTAAAACGCGTAATCGACCAAACAATATCCCACTTCGGCCAAATCGACATAATCGCCAATTGCTCCGGCTACGGCGTCATCGGCGCCTGCGAAGACCAAGATGAATTCGACATCCGAAACCAATTCGAAACAAACTTCACAGGAACACTGAACATGATCCAGCTATCACTGCCGCATTTCCGTCAGCGGCGCGCGGGGAGATATCTCATTTTCAGCTCGACGTCTGGTGCCCTCGGCGTTCCGGGGCTTGGTCCATACTGTGCTTCCAAATATGCTGTCGAGGGCTTGATGGAGAGTATGCTGTATGAGGTGGATAGTTTTAATATTAAGGGTACGCTTGTTGAACCGGGTCATATGCGCCGTGATGATATTACGGATTTGGTTTCGCCTGAGTCGCCGAACCCTTCTGAACATCAGCTTTCGGCGCCTTTGCCGCTTTACGGTCATTTCTTGGTTAAGCCACCCAGTGAGCCGTATAATACGACTACATCGCCGGCGGCGCATGCGCGACGGATGCTTATGTGGCTTGGTGATAAGCAGCCGGCTAGTGCAGTTAAGGCGGCGCATTTGGTTTGGCAGCTTGGACATTGCTCTTATCCGCCTTTGAGGTTGATTCTGGGTACATATGCGGTTGAGAGTGTGCGGGATCGGTTGAAGTGTATTATTGAGGAGATTGAGGATTGGAAATATCTTAGTTTCCCCATGGGTGATACGCAGCTGCCGATTGGAGGTGGGCGTGAGAGGTCTTCGTTTCAGGAAGCTGAAGGGGGGAGTGAATTGGGTAATGGGTGATTCTGTTGGAATTTGTCAACCTCTTATATGTTATATGATACCCAATATGATACCCAAACCTGATCAAGGAGCCTCTTTAGGTAACCGACCTGCATATCCCCAGGTGTCAGCGGGTTTCCTATGTGCTGTTGTAGCTTTCGTGAGATAAGTATCCTGTTGATGTTAGAGTAGTTCTTATTATATAGTTCTTATTACAACCATAACCTGGGAAGGGGTGTGGGCATGGTATTACTTTGCTAGGTTAGTTGGCTCTAGCGGGCTTTTGGGATGTATCTATATAGAATAGTTCGATTTATTATGAGGAATATAAATGTTTCTAGGAAAGAAGATTCCAAGAGATATAGTTATGTTCCTCCGTCCTAGTGGCCACCACCAATTCCCAACTAAACACGCTACACACGCTTCACGGCTGGAGAAGTCACGGCTGCAGACCGATGTGATCGTAACATTGGAGACTTTGTACCAAAAGAATCACGGAGATAACCAAGGGTATGACGAAGGAAACGATGGAAACCAGCAGCATTAACTGCTCCAACCTGATAAGAGGAGCGATGGCATATTTGGTACTATATTTGTTTTCCAAAAAAAGAAAAACAAAGTGAGAAGAGAAAGCTGTATACAATACATATCACAAATAATATACATGTCTATCCAAGATGGTAATACAAATCCCACATCTAATGGAGAATCAGAAAACAACATTAACAAGTTTACCCCCCTTAACAACAATAACCCGCCGTCTCTTCTCCCAATCATTCTTCTCCTGAAGCCACGACTTCCCCTCAGCAGTCTCCAAAACTCGACTAACAATCCAATCCTGTTCTTCCTGTGAAGGGGCATTCTTGCCCTGCGATGCTGTCGCCGACTCCATGCGCGGGATTGTTACCGCACAGCGGAGCTTTCCGTTGATCTGCACGGCGACTGTCTGGCCGCCGCGAGAAGAGAGGGTTTCGGCTTGGTCTGGTGTGAGGAGCGTGCTTGGCCAGGGTGATGAAAGGATTGATGGTGCTGGTGTTGTAGAGGTATTTGTGGTTGCGTGTAGCACTTCCCATGATTCAGAGGCCAAGGCTGGGGCGATGGGGGCTAGTAGACGGAGGAGGGATGAGATGGATAGGTATAGGATGAGAGGGGAGGAGGCGGGGGTTGAAGCAAGGGTGTTGGTCAGCTTGGTTAGGTCAGAGATGACTGTGTTCAGACCGTAGGGGTTGGTTTCGATGCAGGTCGTGACGGATGCGATGGTGTTGTGGGTGGCTAGGACTGCGTCTGCGTCGGAGTCGCTTAGGTCCTGGAGTGATGATGGGAGGGGAGCAGCGTGGGTAGTGGATGATTTCAGATCTGCTTCCGAGACAGAGAATGACGCCTCCGCCAGGGTCTGCTGGGTGTCTTGGATGAGTTTCCAGAGTCGGTTGAACCAGCGCTCGACGCCGACGACCTTGGTTTCGTCCCATTCTAGAACTTCGCTGACTGGTGCAGAGAACAGGATGTGTGCGCGAGTAGCGTCGGCGCCGTACTTTGATGTGGTGGTGGTAGGGTCCACGCCGTTGTACTTGCTCTTGGACATCTTTTCAAAGGAGATATTAGGGGCAACTTGTGTTCCCTTTATCAAAGGCTTGTCTGGATTGGTTAGGTCCACTTCCGCCGGGAGAAGGAAGCGGCCGGTCGAGGGCTCGGTGAAGGTCTTTCCATGGACCATGCCTTGGCTGAGAAGCATTTTGAATGGTTCTGCAGGTACAGCAGAGTTCCTATTCGGGGACAACTCAGATTGAGAGAGGAATTTATAGATGAATCGAGCGTAGAGAAGATGCAGAATGGCATGCTCAACACCACCGATGTACACATCCACTGGCTGCATCACTGCAGGAGAGAATGGGGATTCCTTGTTAGCAGAGTCCAAGAACCGCAAGAAATACCAGGATGAGTCCACGAAGGTGTCCATGGTATCTGTGTCGCGTCGAGCGGGACCATTGCAACTGGGGCATTTTGTGTGCAGCCATTCTTCTGAGGATTCTAGAGGGTTTCCCTTCTTTCCCTTGAGCCACTCTCCCTCGATCTTCGGCAGCTGTACTGGAAGATCCTTGTCGGGCACCGGCACAGGACCACAGTCCCCGCAGTGGATAATGGGAATAGGCGCACCCCAGTATCGCTGGCGACTGATCAACCAATCCCGTAGGCGCCAGCTCTCGACGAAAGCAGCCTGACCGACCTGCTCCAGGTCATTGACAATCAGCTTTGATGCCTCCTTGGAGTGTAACCCTTGGTACTTTCCACATCGCGAGGTCAAGAAGCCCTCTTGGGTGAAAGCCTTTGTGTCTGACGGGACGACACTGCTATTTGCCTCATTGCTACTTGGCTCAGCTTCGATAACAACAGGGATCGAGTCGGGGTTGACATTTTCCTTGAAGAACATCATGTCCCTGGTATCATGGCCCGGAACACCCATGACTGCTCCCTCGCCATAGTCGCTAAGGACATAAGGAGCTACAAAGACAGGAAGCTTCCTGAGCAAGTGGGGGGTTTCCGCATCAATTTTGCACAATGGATGAGACACCTCAATGTCGGACAGCCGGTATCCTGCTTTGGAGTCCGGTGCAAGCGACGATGCATCACTCAAGAATTTGCGAAGTGCCTCATCTTTCTCGGCAGCTTTTAACACAATAGGGTGATTCAACGAGAGTGCCAGATATTCCACGCCATATAAAGTGTCTGGCCGGGTAGTGAATACATTCACATCCACTTGGTCATACCGTCCGACGGTCACAGGGAATGTGACCTTGGCACCATAAGACTTCCCAAGCCAATTGCGTTGCATCGACAAGACACGCTCCGGCCATCCCCCGGCAAGAGAATCAAGGTCTTTCAGAAGTGCTTCCTTGAAATCAGTGATCTTGAAGAACCACTGCTTCAAGTTCAACTTTTCAACCTTAGCCCCAGATCTCCAGGAGAATCCATTGGCATCAACCTGGACGAAAATCAGATCAAATCAAAATATACTCTCGGATCTCGACTCACCTGCTCATTTGCCAAAACGGTCTTATCAACAGGATCATAATTAACCAACGCTTCCGCCTGATACGCCAAATTCTTTTCATACAACATCAAAAAGATGCGCTGTGTATGCTCATAGAAATCCGGGGAGCACGTAGCCAGTTCCTAGCCATAAGTATCAATTAGCCATCCATCCCGATTAACCCGCCGAATCCAAATAATCAACACCAACATACCCGATCCCAATCAAACTCCGCCGAAATACACCTCAACTGCTCCTTCATCTTCGAAATATTCGCCTGCGTCCACATCGCAGGATCAATTCCCCTCTCAATCGCCGCGTTCTCCGCGGGCAGCCCAAAAGCATCCCACCCCATAGGATGGAGCACGTCATGTCCGCGCATTTTATAGAACCGCGAAATCACATCGGAGATCGTGTATACACGCAAATGGCCCATGTGCAGCGTCCCGGACGGGTATGGGAACATGGATAGGATGTAGGATTTGGGTTTCGCTGTTGCGTCGGGTGTTAGACGCGGCGCGGCGCGGTCGCTTTCCCATTTTGCGTGCCATTTTTTGTCGAGAGCGGGGAGGTCTAGTCGGCGAGTTGAGGTGCTGGATAGTCGGGTTAGGGTGTAGACTGGTGAGAGGGCTCGGAAGGTTGGACGCGTGTGAATGCGGCCAGGCGCGATGGCGCTGGTTAATCGGAGTCGGGAGAGGGATTGCATGGCTGGCTAATCATTACGTGCCTGGAAAGTTTAGAGATTGGGGTATTAATTGGAGTAATTGGCCATGTCTGCGATTTGAAGGTCTGACTAGTTTCACTTGCGCATCTTCAAAACTTCCCCGGAACCCGGGTAGCTTTAGCCCCGATTTGGACTAGCGCATCATCACTTATACTTCCAAGGTTTGGACATCTTCTAGAAGTTTTGAAGATGCCGAGGTCCTTTGTTATATTGTAGGGAATTCATATATTGAAAATGTTTTTTATGTTCAATGGATACGCATATCCGGCATTGGAAATCGCTATGTATCATACACTTTACTCTATCCCAAGTCTATATTCTCAAAATATCACCACTCCTGTCAATACCACCGCGAAAATGATCCGTAACCACTTTGCCGCCGAGAATAGTCTCCTCCACAAGCCCCTCTACATGCTTGGGCTCAATACGGCCGTACCAGATCCCCTTACCCGCCAGCGGGTGAAGCTCTGAAGAAGTTCCCACCGTCATCTTCGGTGGGATATAAACAATCACATTGCCTGCGTATTTATGTCCTCCGACATGACTGATCAACCCAATATTAGCATGGTTGAGGCCATCCACCGTGGTCCCATCACTGCCCGCGGAGGAGAATCCTCGCGCTTGCAACACGCGCTTGAACTCGCTTTTCAAGGCGGGGGCCATGACACCACAGCGCATGTCACGACCTCCATGTCCACATATTAACACTGTTGGAGAGTGATTGATGTCGATGACTCCCGGGAAGTTTGATGCTAGGTCCGGGGATCGCGTCATGTCTGCTTGTTTGGCTGCGGGGAGAGAGGAGTGCATGTCGTGGAGTCGTTCGGGGAGAAGATATGCACGTACGAAGGTCGTTAGATCGGTTGCTTGGTCGGGCGATGAGGCTGTGTTCACAGGTATTGAGGGGATGTATTTGAAGCTGGGGAAGAGGAATGCCGAGGCGGTGGCGGAGGAGAAGCTGGCAGCTGGCGCGATAGATGAATTCGTAACCAAAACATTATTGAAAGGCTAGATTGAGGAGACCTCGTATCAGCAAGAGTTCGCGCATCCATTCTTGGGTTATATGGTCCAATTACATCAAGATATGGCCCGCCACGACCTAAAAGTCTCTTCAGTCCTCTCACAAGATTGCCCCAGCCTTTATTCTCACCATCATCTTCAATGCGACTCGTCCAGTCCGGTTGTCCTGTGCAGATAAGAAGCTGCTGCGCATAGGCAGCCATCGTTCCATTTAAGGCTTGTTCATGATCGATCGGTAAACCCTCCGGCAGGGCGGGTGTGGGTGGACAATTGCAGCTTGGTTCAGGGCATGTCTTGGTAACAGGGAAGGGAGGGGGGATTTCCAGGCGCGCGCGGAGTTTGCTACTGCGCTGAGTACTGGACAGTAGGCGGATGTTTTGGCAATTGCGATAGGTTCGCCCGCTCCAGGTGCGGGAGAGCGATTGCACGAGTATTGGTTGCATCGAATGGGCCTTGTATAAATTGGCAGAAGGGAGGTAAATGCAAAAGACACAATGTCTAGAAAATAAAAAACAGAGGTGAATATTGAAATGTCCGAATGCCGAGTCCGAGGAATCGGATATTCGGAGATTATCAATCTCCGCCGTTGATTCGTTGGATCTGCAGATCTAACAATTTCTTTACTGTTATTCTACTATAACATCTCCGGGGCTAGTTATCATCACAATATTCCCAACCATTCTCATCGCTGCCAATCAGAATCCTTTAACAAATCGACCAACAATTTCCAGAAAATCTCGCCTTTCAGGAGCATAATGAGTCCCCCAGAATTGCTTTATGGCTAATGACAACGAACCGAGATGGATCAATCATTGGATCTCAAGAACCTATAACATGAAGTATCGGAGTTTTGACCTTGGGATAATATATCGGTGTATACTCAGGGTGTTCGAGTCGAAACTCGCTCGGACAAATAGCAAACCCCATCGGGGGTGATCTCGCTAGAAAATGGAAATCATCAGTCACCAACAGAAAGCGCCTAAGTCATACTCGGGCATGGTTACTGTAAGATTGAAATTGCAGTTCGATCTCCTCTTTTGAAGAAGGGATGTGACAATAACAGCCACAGTAGCGCCTGTAGAAGATCCCATAATCCCAAAAGGGCCATGTCTCTCAAAAATATCAGATTTTTGAATAATCTTGGCTTTTGAACTAGAATCTTTGGTGAAGGGCTTCTCGTAATTTTTCACGGTATCTGCGCTGTAAATGTATCTACTCGCGCAAGCAGGCCAGTTTGATAGCTTTGGATGAAGTCTGTGTTGAGAGGTGGAGGCAGTTCACCAGTTGGTTAGTGGATGTTGGGAACGGCATGCCAATAGGTGGTTAGGTATAATTTCCAACGGGCTAAGGATTGTGAACTCTCTAGTTTTGAAATGAAATCACCTCACGATTCCATATTGCTGGCGATAGCATACGGAAACAGAAGTTCAAGTGTGACGAATCAAATGGAATGCCCCCGTACTGGTCATGCGACAATACGATATGCGCCGAAGCCCCGGGACCATCACATCACGTATGCAACTTCCAGCCAAATTTCATGCTGATTGTTTCGATCGGTTGGATCGAAATTCGAGTAGGTAATTTTGGGATCGACGGTGGGTTGGAACGGTAGTATATCGTAGCATCCCGCGAAAGTACAATGATGTACAGCCTTGTCTTCCTGCGATCGGAGGGCTGTAACTATAACATCAGTCGAATAAATGTTCGCCAATTCACAGATTGTTAGTTTTCCGACACCCAAAGTACACCACGTCGCAGCAATTGAATCCAATGTCCGACCGGAAAGCAATCCGAATAAAAACATGCATTGCAATTGTCTCGTTGATCTGCAGTCTAGTACTAACTGCGCGCAGCGAGAAGATAAACGATGGGGTATCCGACCTGGGAGACGGTGATTAATAAAAAATAATCCAGTCATCCTTGATTCTGGATGCGGTCATGCTTTCCGTGTGTCCATGATCTGATCCGGAACCTCAGTGGACCCGGGATCTTCAAAACCTCCTCGCGAGGAGGCAATGTACTTGGGTAGCTCTGTAGGGAAGTAGCGGGGCCGGAGTTGGAGAAGGTGACACAAAGGCCGAATTTCGGCAGAAGAGCGGAAATTGTTCGGCATGGCTTCCGTAGAAAGAATACGGGGTACTGGGGGAAGTTGGGGTGTTTTAGTACCTTGTAAGAAAGGATTTCGATAAGCTTCGCAGGTTGGAGATGCTAATCATTCTAAAAATCGGGTCAATCGGGGATGGTAATGAGTTGTATGAGTTGTATAGTTGTGGTTGGGTTGGGGTTACCCCTCATTATGTCAGCTTAATTAGGTCAGCTCATTATGTCAGTTACCCCGCTGCGGGGTAACACGAGCAGTGGGCTGACGGGTTGGGGATTAAGGGATTAGGAGATGGGAATAGTAGAATACTATTATACTATTATAGTAAAGAGAGGGAGAGAGACAGATATTGCACCTATGTAGTCATTCTATTCATAAATGTGTATGTCTAAATGTACGCAACTGTATACAATATTAGAAAAGTGCCCCCCGCACGTTCATCCCTTTAGAGAGCTTTTCAAGGTTAGATATATGCTTGGAATAGTACATTGTACTCTAATATACATGTGGATACATTCATGGATGGCAAGCTATGTAAGTCCAAAGATGATTGGCCATATATCGAAACAAATGTACAACCTGTTTCCTGTCCCTCGTGCGGAGAGATCTCCAAGTGGATTCCCAGTCTAGTCCAGATTTCCCGTTGCTGCTGTCCGAGTTACCTTTTGAGGGGATGCACAATATCTTTGAAGAGAGAGGGGGGATATATAACTGGCTCCATTTGCTGTTCGATTTTCTTCTTTCTCACTCTATCAAACTATCATCCATTCAACTCTTCTCTTACCTTGTTCTACTCTACCTGTAAGTCTATCTGTTACTATTTCCCCTCCTTTCTATAGCCAGATCACATCTCTTGGCCTGCACGGTTCCCCACTTCTGGCTTAGAGCCGGTTTTGTTCAACGCCGGATTTGGACATTGACCTCATCAACTATATATCGATATAACAGACCACTGACCATTTGTTCTAGGAAATTCTTGAAAATATTCTATAATCCTTCACAATGGTATTTATCCGCTCTCTTTCTTGTCAATTGCGACGGTCCTTCCTCTCGAGCCCTCTCAAGCCAACGGTTGCCTCCAACCCATTCGCTCGGGCTTCACCCTTGGCTGGCTCTCTTTCCGGTGCACGTACACTAACCGCGACTTCGAATCTCCAGGGCAAAGTTCTTTTGGTTCTCTACGATGTAAGTCATTCTCAATTCATGTTGTACATACTTCAATCGCTGACTCTGTGATAATAGGGTGGTGAGCACTCCCAGCAGCAGCCTAAGCTGCTCGGTACCACCGAGAACGAGCTCGGCATCCGCAAGTGGCTCGAGGACCAGGGTCACACCCTGGTAACCACATCCGACAAAGAGGGCGAGAACTCCACCTTTGACAAGGAGCTCGTCGACGCTGAAGTCATCATCACTACTCCGTTCGTTTCTCATGCTCGCACTATCAATAACTCATCACTAACAACGCGACAGCTTCCACCCGGGTTATCTCACCGCTGAGCGTCTCGCCAAGGCCAAGAACCTCAAGCTCGCCGTCACTGCCGGTATTGGTTCCGATCATGTTGACCTGAACGCCGCCAACACCACCAACGGCGGCATCACCGTTGCCGAGGTCACCGGCTCCAACGTTGTCTCCGTCGCTGAGCACGTCGTCATGACCATCCTCCTCCTCGTCCGCAACTTTGTCCCTGCCCACGAGCAGATCAAGAACGGCGACTGGAACGTCGCCGCCGTCGCCAAGAATGAGTTCGACCTCGAGGGTAAGGTCGTCGGTACCGTCGCGGTCGGCCGTATCGGTGAGCGTGTCCTCCGCCGTCTCAAGCCCTTCGACTGCAAGGAGCTCCTCTACTACGACTACCAGCCCCTCTCCGCCGAGACCGAGAAGGAGATCGGTTGCCGTCGTGTCGATGATCTCGAGGAGATGCTCGCCCAGTGTGACGTTGTCACCATTAACTGCCCCCTGCACGAGAAGACCCGCGGTCTCTTCAACAAGGACCTCATCTCTAAGATGAAGCCCGGTGCTTGGCTCGTCAACACCGCTCGCGGTGCCATCGTTGTCAAGGAGGATGTCGCTGAGGCCCTCAAGTCTGGCCACCTCCGTGGATACGGTGGTGATGTCTGGTTCCCCCAGCCCGCCCCCAAGGATCACCCTCTCCGCTACGCCGAGCACCCCTGGGGTGGCGGTAACGCTATGGTTCCCCACATGTCCGGTACCTCCATTGATGCTCAGGTCCGCTACGCCAACGGTACCAAGAACATTCTCGACAGCTACTTCTCCGGCCGTGAGGACTACCGTCCTGAGGATTTGATCGTCCACAAGGGTGCCTATGCCACCAAGGCCTACGGTCAGCGCAAGTAGAGAATGTCCTTGCATGACGCAGTGTGAAGCATTCTCCGGCCGAGTGACTTCCTTTTATATTTCATGTTTATATGTTCATAACAGTCCCATTTGCTCATGGCATGGGCGATGCTGAAAAAGGTAGCATCTTTCACGATACCAATGAATAATATTTATAACCTTAACTTCTTTTCCATTTTTACTTACATTTGAGATTTCGGTACTTTATATGGAGTATAATACACAGTCGTGCATGGTGATCGGTGGAGCTATGTCGATCTCACCAGATTAATTAAGTCCAGCCCTTCGGTGGAGTCTAGAACATGTAGAGTTGATGTCTTCTTTTTTAGACATTCTTCACGACTAGGTATGATCGGTAGTAATAGAGTCCAAATATGTATATGTATATCAATTGTTCTAATAACCCAAGTCTAGCTAGTTACATGTAATTCTAAAAATTAAAAAGACAAAATAACTCTATTCACAAAGTAGCCATGCTCGAAACCAAACACACAAACCCAGACCATGCAGGCTTTCAAAACATCCCTAGTCAAAAACCCCAACCCCAACCCCAAGAATGCAGATATGTATATACAAACGCGATCTTTAACAATTCAGAGCCTCCCTCTCCGTCCATGTCCACTCCTCTCACTCCCCTCCGAATCACTATCATCCATAAACCCCTCTTCCAAATCCCGACTCAGCCGACTCTCCGTATCAGCCAGATTATCACGTCTCTGTTGTTCCAGTGTACCCCGCCTCACAGAATCCATATCCATCCCCACCAAGATCTCCCCTTCCTCGTCGTCAATACTCTCCGTATCGTGGTCAGCTATATGTGCCCCCCATCGCCATCGAGAGGGAAGGCAGAAGTGCATCACTTTATCGGCTATGCGGTCGCGTAGGGATAGTGTGTGTGCGGATATACTGTGTAGCGGGAGGTATTGCGAGTAGCGCTGGTGGTACCGACGGAAGAAGGGGAATATCACACATGAGGCGAGAATGTAGATTGATAGTGCAATTGCGGCTGGGATGAGGATAGTCTATGTGTGTAGGTTGTTTATTAGTTTGGGTTCCTTTTGGTATTGGTCGTGGACACGATGGGTGCCTGGAGATGACTGTGGTGTGTGGTATGCGCGTCGAGATAGGGGGATTATGCGCGCACCTTGGCAAAGACACTTGTTGATCCCATGCTGAGTGGTGGGATATTATGCTTTGCGCCTAAGATAGGATGGCAGAGTGGTGAGGTTTGAGGGTTAAGGGATTGTGGAGTGAGGTCCGGGGTCCCACGGCTCCAGAGAGCACGCGAGGCAGGGGATCGGCAGATCGACAAGCGGCCGCTCGGGATATCAGTGTCGTCACTTCTGTCTTGAAATAGGCTTTTATATATCAAATCACTCCGTTGTTACTTAAAAATAGTATTTTATAGATAACTAGACTACACATATATAACTAACCACCTTAACTGTATTATGGCCTGATCCCAAGACATGAACATGATATTAGAAGGCTTACACCGATGTTGGACAGCGAGTCTACCTAGTCTCAGGGGCGGCTGCACCAAAGCTATTCAAGGGTACATCGAACAGTTGCTGATTAATTTGAGGGCTTCTCTTATCTACTCCCTTTCTCATTTAGTCCCTCTGCTCATCACTCGTTAATATGAATAATCAACAGCAGGTAGAGCATCTGGGCAGGTGTGACCCTGTTTATGCCCAGCACAAGATATTCTCTTTAATGCATTATTCGTTTTCTCCCTTTACAGACTTCGGCTCAGTGGCTTGAGTTTCAGCTCCTTGGTTGTGCCCTTTTTCTGCAATATATATCTCACCATCTTCATTCTATCCACGGCACTACGAGGTGATGATTCATTAAATGACTCTCGATAGATAGTTGACGGTATGAGTAGATGCTGAACTTTAATAATAGATGTTTCATTAAACATTCACCTTGAAAATCCGTTCAATTCCAAATCCACGCTTTGGTAGACGTCCTCCATAGCTCCCCAGGGCCAGTATAAGCTTACGTGATCTTGACGATCACGTGCGCGGTCGGGGAGTTTCTCCGAGGCAAGCCCCCTAATATCAATAGACTGATTAGAAGAACGCTCGGGCTTTGATCCTGGCGTCAAACTGGACTTGACATTTGCAAAAAGCTTGCATGTTAATTTCCTTTTCTCCTATTTTGATTTCCTTGTGGGGTGAGTGCTGTGAAGAAATCCCCTTACCCCTCAGTCTCACGCGACTCCGCCGTCGCAACGGATATACTAACTAGCCAGGGAGGGACAAAACAGAGAGCCACTTTCGCCCTATTTGAATGTCATCGTCTTCTCCCATATCCACTGCGATCGACAGCGCCTTATCGCAAAATCGGACATCCCTATTTAATACCGTTCCTGAGACTGTTGGAGGGGCCCTTATGCTGCGCCCTGCCTCATCTCAGTGACGCCCGCCAAAATGCCAAGTTCACAAGCCGACAAATCTAGGCAAACATCGAGTGGAAAGTCATTCTTCGGCCGAAAATTGTACAAAGAGAAACCGACTGAGGAACGATACGATAATTATGCTGGTTCCTACGATAGCCTGGCACCACCGGGAAACGCCGCCGGCTCACGCTCGTCCCGCCATTCCAAGCGGTCTTCGATTCAATCTGTCGACTTGACCCATGATTTGGACCCCAGCAGTATCGCCCACACCTCAGGCGTCATCACCTCCATCCCCTTTGAAAGCCTCCCCACCGATACCAGGACCCCGATTCCAATCGACAACATGACCCGCCCTGGCTCATCGCGCCATGAGCCTTCGCCCCACCATCTGGGTAAGACTGGAGGTGATTTTCATCAATATCCCACTGTAACCTCTACATCTGCACCAAATGGGTACGCCCCACATCCTTCTGGCCCTCGTCCGCCACCACACGGCTCAAATAATACCTTGACCAACAGCAACTCCGGCGATAGAGGTGCCAGACAGCAACAGCAACAATGGGGACGACCAGGCAGCTCCGCAGCGAACAATGGGCCTAACCACAATACTTCGTCTATTGATTCGTCCTCCAATTCCCGCACCTCCCTCGACCAAGCCAGCATCTACTCCTCCGTTTCTTCTAACACGCGCGGTTCGAGCTACTTCTCCTCGGACAATTCCTCTCGCACTCTCACAACCTCACATTCTAGTGACCGTACTGCTATGCTCCCCAGCTCCAGCTCGGGACGCTTGTCAAATGCGGGATCCTCCCACCAGACCTCTGTGCCCGCCGCCGTCCCCCGGCCACAAGATAACTACCTCACTCGACCGAGAGATGACCGCATTGTGGACCAGCTGTTTCTAGAGCTGATGCAGAAGCGAGGATGGCAAAATCTTCCCGAACAGGCCAAACGGCAGATGTTGTCGTACCCAGCTTCAAAAAAATGGACATTGGTACATCAGGATCGCTTGACAGAGTTGCAAGGAGAGCAAAAAAGACGACAAAATGCGCGACAAACTCATGGCCATGATGGCTTGTCTGGTTTGCTTGAACGCGCCGATGAAGAAGGTAGCCCGGAGTGGTATGTGAAGAAGGTGATGGACGACACCATTACGTCCAAGCAGCTTGCTAGTTTAAGTGTCAGCTTGCGAACACAGCCAATCAGGTATGTAATGCCTCTTCTCGATATCGTACATATCACTAATAACTACACAGCTGGGTGAAAGCCTTTGTTGAAGCCCAAGGTCAAATCGCTTTGACCAATGTCCTCTTGAAGATCAACAGAAGAAAAGCCTCTGGTCCTGTCCCAGCTCCCCCGACAGGCGATAAAGATTTAGACCGGGAATACGATATTGCCAAATGTTTGAAAGGTCTGATGAACAACAAGTATGGCGCAGACGACGCTCTAGAGCATCAAAATGTGCTAGTTGCTCTCGTCAGCTCATTATCATCGCCACGCCTGAATACCCGCAAACTTGTCAGCGAAGTCCTCACTTTCTTGTGCCACTGGGGTGATGGACAAGGCCACCAAAAAGTTCTGCAATCCATGGACAAGGTCAAACATGATCACAACGAAACCGGTCGCTTCGATGCTTGGATGCGTATTGTCGAAGTCACTATCGACGGCCGTGGAAAGATGGGAAGTTTGGTCGGTGCCAGCGAAGAGTACCGCAGCGGAGGCATTGGCATGGAGAACCTCCTTATGGAGTACGCGGTCTCAACCATGATCCTCATCAACATGCTGGTGGATGGGGCAGAAACGGACCTCCAGCTGCGTTGCCACATTCGCGCTCAATTCACATCATGTGGAATCAAGCGCCTGTTGACGAAGATGGAGGGATTCCAGTATGAAGTTATCGACAAGCAAATCGAGCGTTTCCGCGAGAATGAGGCTATTGATTATGAGGATCTCCTCCAGCGGGAGGGCAGCAGTATGAAGGATAGCATCGAGGGCGAAGTCAAGGACATGAGCGATCCTATGCAAATCGTCGATGCAATCACATCCAAGATCAACGGCAGCCGGTCCCATGACTACTTCCTTTCGGCTATGCAACATATGCTCCTCATACGGGAGAACTCCGGCGAGGAAGGGCTGCGTATGTTCCAGCTGGTTGACGCCATGCTGAGCTACGTGGCCATGGACCGGAGGCTGCCCGACCTTGACCTTCGGCAGGGTCTGACCTTCACTGTGCAGAGTCTGCTAGATCGACTGCACACGGATGCTGAGGCAAGACGGGTCTATGACGAGTCTCTCGAGGCTCGGCAGATTGCTGAGGCTGCCATTGCTGAGCGCGATGAGATGCGAGCGCAGGTCGAGCTCGGCGCAGAAGGCTTGGTTTTGAAATTGCAAAAGCAAATTGATGAACAGGCTGGTATTATCGAGCTGCAACAAAGGCAAAATGAATCCTTCAAGGCCGAGGTTGCAGAAGTACAACGACTGCGTGCTCAGGAATTGCAGCGCAATGAGCTGGAAACCCGAGAACTATATCTCATGCTCCGAGATGCCCAGGATATCGCCGCTGCCAATGCCCGAAAGGCCAACAACCCTGAGACGGTGGAGGCAGCAGATCCATCTCAGATGCCCGGTATCATGGACCGTGAACGACTCATGGAACGTCTGGAACGCCAGCTCGAGCGGACTAAGACCCAGTTCAAGCTGGAGGGTAAGGTCTGGGGCCAGCATGGACCATCCGATCGACTCCGTGAGCTGCGCGAGAAGATGGAGGGTGAAGGTGATGACAGCGATGACTTTGCTGAAACTACCCGCCGAAACCTCGATCCTGGTGCTTTGGGGTCTGTTTACCGTAAGCGCAGCCATATCCCTACGATGGACTCGACTCTGGAAGACGAGGAGGACATCCCACTAGATAGCAATGGCGAGCCGATGTATGAGAGGCCTCGTCTGGTGGAAATGCATCGTCCGCGTTTGGACCCTGCCCAGGCTACCGGCTTCCTAGGCGAGCTTGCTTCCAAACTTCCCAAGTTTGACGCTGAAGATCCCAATGCCGTTGAAGGGGAACAGGTACCCAGGTTGGAAGACAATGAAGCTGCTACAACGGCCATGCCACCTCCGCCCCCTCCAGGGGGCAAGATTGTTCCTCCGCCGCCGGCGGCGGGAGTTATGGCTCTTCCCCCACCTCCGCCGCCAGGAGGCAAGATCCTTCCACCTCCACCTCCACCAGGGGGCTTCACTCTTCCACCGCCGCCTCCCCCGGGTGGAAAAGTTGGTCTGCCCCCTCCCCCCCCGCCTGGCGGAATGGCTCTCCCACCGCCGCCTCCGCCAGGTGGTGCCAAGGGTATTCCTGGATTGCCGCCACCACCTCCGCCCCCCGGTGGAAGGGTTGGATTGCCTCCACCGCCGCCTCCAGGTGGTGGTGGAATCATCCCACCCCCTCCCCCTATTCCTGGAGCCAAGGGTCTGATGATCCCCCCACCCCCACCACCCAACGCTGCCTTAGGTTCAGGCTGGAGACCGGCATACATGGTTGGAGATGTTTCGCCGTCTACAATCCACATGCCGTCCATTCGACCTAAGAAGAAGCTCAAGGCTTTGCATTGGGACAAGGTCGACACTCCTCAGGTGACTGTTTGGGCTGGTCACGCACCCACTCCTGAGCAGAAGGAAGAGAAATATACTGAGCTTGCCAAGAAGGGTGTCTTGGACGAGGTTGAGCGATTGTTCATGGCCAAAGAAACGAAGATCTTTGGAGCCAGCACTGGTGCGAAGCAGCGCACTGCCAAGAAACAGATCATCTCGAACGATCTATCCAAGAACTTCCAGATTGCTCTTTCCAAGTTCTCTCAATACCCGGCTGAGGAGGTGACTCGCATGATCATCCACTGTGACAAGGATATTCTGGACAACAGTGTTGTTATGGACTTTTTGCAAAGAGACGAAATGTGCAGTATACCAGAGAATGTCGCCAAGCTTATGGCACCATACAGTATGGATTGGACGGGTCCTGGCGCCGCTACTTCCGATCGTGAACAGGATCCCTCCGAGATCACTCGCGAGGATCAGATCTATCTTTA